AGCCGCGTACATGTGCACACACATTTGCATACAGACAAGGGAATAGAAAGCGGTACCAAGCGACTCGGTTGAAAAGCCTACTGGACTCAGTTGTGGCGCCGTGTCGGCTACGCGAGGCAATATGCCACATGTGACTTGGGGACTTGGTAACAATGAGTTCCCGTTGTCCGGGCCTGAAGTATCAACGGCCCCGTGAGTTAGGCCAAATTGTGCATGTGGTTGGTCTCCTTGTCCAGCGGGCCAAGTGGGCTGGCGCAAATGTACATACTCTAATAAGGCTACCTGTTGTTGACACTGCAACAGTCATCTTTCGACAGACGGTCGTGTGTGAGGTTCGTGGGCATGAGGAGTCGTCCGGACAAGGACATCGCCTGTGGCGTTAAAGTCATTTTAGCTACTTCTCTTGGAATCCAGAAGGACCATCTGGCCGAGTTGGACTATATTTTCGCGATCCGAGGAGAAGATGGGTTGTTTCATAATTGTGGAGCTTACTTCCGTTTCGAGTGAAAGTGTTTGGTGAAGAGATTCGAAAGTCGATTCCTCTTGACCAGCTGTCGAATGGCTTTACTCAAAGATTCATGCTGACGCTGCTTCCAAGGCAATCTCCTTCGATTCCGGTGAAAAGTTGGTAAGCTTTTGTCCGTCATATGACGGACATCATCAGAGCAAGGTATCATAGTCACAACCATATTCAAGCTAACGAGTCAGCAAAACTTGTTAACTTGAATTTGGTTGTGACGATAATACCTTGCTCCGATGATGTCCGTCATATGACGGACGAAAACTTACCAACTTTTCACCGGAATCGAAGGAGATTGCCTTGGAAGCAGCGTCAGCATGAATCTTTGAGTAAAGCCAATTGACAGCCGGTCAAGAGGAATCGACTTTCGAATCCCTTCACCAAACACTTTCACTGAAAATGGAAGTAAGCTCAACAATGATGACGTGTTAAAGCCAAACAGCTGCAGAAGAGCGGGATCAATCAACGAATCTCTTCATCATGTCCTTTCATATGAATGACAAGCCTCTCC